CTTTCGGGTTCAAGGTTTGCTGTGTGTACACATTTGAGGGCAGGCGAAGATTGTCAACACGACTGAGCGTTTGTTGCGAGCATGAGCAGCAGTGTTAGTTAAGTTTTGTTACCTCTTCACGGAGTCCTGCTACGATCACTGCTGCAGTAACCATTGCCCCCACGACTATAGCGAAAACCACAACATACTCGCACCAAAACTAGTCAGACAAGATGTTGCAAGCGAAACAAAGACAGCAGATGTTCGGTGGCACGCGGGCGGCAGCAGTGGGGCACGGGCAGGCAGGGGCAAGACGCCGAAGGTGCTGGCGTGGGCAGGAGCGGGCCTGGGGGCAGGGTGGGAGGGGTGCAGGGCAGCACGGGCGGGGTGCGAGGTAAGCGTGGGCAGTGACAGTGTCAGTGGTAGCGGCAATACCAGTACCATTACCTCAGTACCAGTGACGGCGGCGCGAGCAGTAGCGAAGCAGCAACTTCAGTCAAGCAGTGGTATAGTGGTAGCAGTTGTAGCAGTACCAGCAGCCGCAGCCGCAGCCGCAGCNNCAGCAGCAGCAGCAGCAGCAGGAAGTAGCATAACCAGCGGCAGCACCAGCAGCAGCAACAGCAGCAGCAGCAGCAGGCGTAGCAGTGTTGCTAGCGGCAGCCGTGGCAGTAGTGAGTGGTAGTCGTAGTCGTGGCAGCGATAGTGATAGCAGTGGCTTAGTGGTCGTCGGTACTAGCAGCAGGACGAGTGCTGGTCGCGGCAGCAGTAAGTAGCCGTAGCCGTAGCCATAGCAGTAGCAGCAGCAGCAGTGGCAGTAGCAGCAATTTGTCAGCTTTGTGCACAGCAGTCGACAGGCCGGCCGCCTTGTGGCGGATAGAACAGAGCAGGTGAAGATGCCTGCCTCGGATCGTATCACTATAGTATGCGACGAATGCCACCGCCACGGAGAGCTTGTCCATGGCATTCTGACTTTGTCAAATCGCGGAGATTTGCTCGTAAGCGAGCAAATAGCATCCTTCACCATGTGATCTGGGAAAACTCTCGCAATGAACAAGCGAATGTGTTGTCATCGCAGCTCCAGATGTCGCCTTCTGTCAGCAGGCACGAGGTGAAGTGCCCAGTTCTGGGGTGAGCACCATGATGTGTAATGGTGGCAACAAGTCGGTAGTGCTTGACTTGTGTGCACAAGCCACCTGCAGCGAATCATGGCGCAACAATCTCGCGGTTGGGTTCGACGGCATCATACGGCATCCTCACGCTTAATGATTCGGCCGCGCTGAGCAGCTTGATTTCAAACCACTTGCCTTTCCAAAGAAAGAAGTAAGTCTGGCTGAGGCTGGAACTCGGTCCGAGATCCTCCCGTTGGCGGCCTTCGTCTCTTGTTGGATTGCAGCAAGCCTGCCGTGGCTGCCTGTACACTCTCGAAGAACTCGTCCATCTCGTCCTGGCCAATCCTGTTGAAGACAAAGAATCTCGCATTGCCAGATCACTTTTGAACATGTTCCTTCCAGTCCTTACACCGAACATTGCAAAAATGACACGTAGGGCAAGCTGTGGCTGTGCGTCGGATAAGGGAGGCAATGGTATTACCAAGACTTTGTAAGACCTCTGGATGAGTGTATATTGGTAGTGGCGCTTCATGGTGCGATGAGATGCCACCCATTGGCCGCATAATGCACATGTCTGCTGGAGCCTCGAGGCAGTGTCCCGCAGCTGTATGAACGAGTTTAGTCCTTTGCGTGCTGCCGCGACCGCTATCTCTTGTTGACAAATCAATTCTGTAGCGAGAGGCACCTGCGAGGGTTGTGTTTCCTCGAGCACTGCATCATTTGTGTTTTTGGCATCGTCCTTTGTAGCTCCGCTCGCCCCATAGTTAGTGCATCTGTTCTCCGTGATGTGCTGTGCAAGTGTCTGCCAGCGGCTGAACTTTCTCTAACAGAACCGGCATGTAGGGAGCCCGTCAATGGAATGTTCAGCACTACTGAAAACCGCGGGCTGATTGTCAACATGCTGATGTGTACGTCCAGCATACATTTTGAGAGCACATATCCTCACAGAAGGGGCACGCCCAGGCATTGTGCTCCACCCCGTCAGTACATGCTGATGGCCGGCACTGTGTCAGCCTGTCGCACAGATGTGCTTGCCAAGTAGGACAGAACATCCAGTGTTCTAAGAAGTGTTGTGAGTGAAGTTGAGCCTGTGCAGCGCGATGTCATTCCTTCTGAAGGACCCCGACGATCCTGGGGATGCGGTATGTGGCTATAATTGCTTCGTGCGTCTCACCAGCAAGGAAAGCCTGGTTGGAAAATGACGGCCCCTATGTGCTTCATGATGGCTTTCTGGAGCTCGCCGGCCTGGTCTCCTGTGTAAGGCCACAATGCGCAAGACCATAGAGTCCGTCGAGCATGGTAGAACACACACAGCTGCGCCACACGCCAAGCTTGTACGAGATCCTGAGACGGTTGGAGGACTGCTGCTCAAAATTGTCATAGGAAATGATGAGCCCAAGGTATTCTGTGTGGGTGACCAACGACAACCATCGATGAAGTTCACAAGGATTGAGCCGTAGCCTTCGCGAGGAGTGTTGCTTTCGAACATACTCCTTGTTAATGCGGTGCTTCAAGTTGCCGACAAGTTTGAGCACAGTCTTCGTTTTCTCCATGTTATTTTTCAGGTGGAAGAGCCTAAAGCATGCAAACACCGTGCGCACCTACCCATGGCCGCTGTAAATTTTTTGAACGTTTCGAAGCGACAGCGCAAGTGCGAGTCATCTGCATAAAGACAAAGGTGTCGCCTCGTCCATTCGGGTTGTGTCCGTGCTATTACGCAAGCACAAAGAAGAGAGGTGAATGCTGCCTATAAGATTGGGGAGGCTGAACAGCCTTGTCGCAGGCCTCTTCTGGGCTTGATGGAGCCCTGCAAATGACGATGCCGGAAGAGGTACCGGACCTGTGTGAGCCAGGTGAGAAGGACCTCTTGAACGGCCACATTAGCATTGGCAAGGTCGATGGCCTGTTTGAGATTGGACCATTCGACCAAGTCGAAGGCGGGCGACAGATCCAAACTGATCTGGATTCCTGCGCTGCATTTCACACGTGTTTGACTGGCATGTTGTTGATGCAAGTTGACTCGCGCCTTGGCGCAGTGTTCTCGTACTTCACGGCAGTGGGCAAACACCTGTCGGAGAGCGGTGCCTGTGGATTTTGGTTTTTAACGTATGCACACCGTGGGTACTTGATGATGAGGTCCTGGATGGCCTGCTTGGCTTGCCGACCTCGCCTGTTGGTACTCCCGAGTCCCCCAGGAGCCCTAGCAGGAAGCGTGGGGCCGATGGTCCACCACCGTTCTCCTGAGACACTTGCCCAGGGGATCCTGAATTCCGATAGGATGCCAATCTAGTGGGCTATTAGTGGGCTATCAGATCTGCCATGTGACTTCGGTAGTAGAGCAACATCAGCATCACACCACCGTTGTAGGACGAATGGCTTGCCGTCCCGCCGTTTATTGAAGCTGCGGACCACAGGGGGAGCGATCAAAGCACGCCTTACAAATTTTACAAACCACTGCTGGGGCTGCTCGTTGGGGGGGGGGGCTTCCGGGGATTAAGATGGCTTAGATGCCACTAGAGGTCCTGTGGGTCAAGCTGAATTCTTTTACGCAGGGCCTTAAATGCCAACTGCCGGATAAATTTCCACAGTGCGTGGGCCCTTCCTTCATCCGCCGCCTTCTGTGCCTGCTGCAAGAGGCCAATTGTCCGCTGTTGGGAACGGTGTTTGGAGCGCTCCTTGTGTGTGCGATGTGCTCTGGTGAAATCGGTCCATTGCCTCCAAGCCGCCACGACACCAGCCATGCTGTAGCGGTGAGATCGCATTCTCCTAAATATGCTCCACATGTCTCTTGCGCAGCTGGCCAGAGCTTCGGATTGTGTAGGGGTGTGCTGCTCGGAGCGTTTCGGCGTATTAGTGATTCTGGGCCGCCTGTAGCAGGGTAGCATTGAAGGAGCCCACCGGGTTTTTGCATATACGTACCGCAGTTTCGACTCTCATGTCCTCCAGGGCCCTGGACGGTCGCTAATGAGCAGTTCTCTGTCAATATGCACAGCCGCTGGGGTGGATTTTCTACTTAGGTCTTTGGCACGTCTACAAGGGCAGGATAGTATCTAGGTCCACCTCTCCATGCTGCTACAGGGTTATCCAGTGTCACATTGGCCTGTTTGGATCGGGAGGTGGCGTGCTGCGACTTGATCATGATGAAGTCGATCTGGGATCGTGAAGCAGTCTCATGCTGCAATGCTGACCGGGAGCAAGCATCGTTATTTGGCCATGTTGAGGTTGTTGCCATGTATTCAGCGCCGTAAAGGAAGGGTGTTGCCAAACATGTTGGTGGTCCTGGCTGTCGGCGTAGTACAAGGGATTATGTGGGGCCACAACTCGACCGCAAACATGCTTGTGAGGAACATATGGACAATTGAAGTCTCCTCCCAAGATAGAGGCGTTATGATGCCATGGGCCATGGGAGATGCGCG